GAAAGCCTTGCTGAGGTAATTTGCTTTTTCGTAATGAATGATTTATAACATTGTCACAATGTGTCATGAGTGCTATTTACAGTAGAACGTTCTGCTGCAGTTCGTTGCAGTGTACACGTTTATAGTTCAGTTGCACACAAGAGGTACACAAAAGGAAGTAAAATAGGGCTGTTTCGTTGTTACTCAGAGATTGCAGGTTAAAGCACACTGCCTCTGTAGTACAGTTGCATGTCGCTTATCCAGCTTTCAGTTATCCGGCATGTCACTTATCCAGCAGCGCACTGACAGCTCGTACACTGTATACTTACAATCATGAGAAATCATGAGAAACGTTGCCTTTATTTTAACGCTACACACATGTCAGTCCATACAGAATTATATAGATTAGCACGGTGGCTATCTCAGGCTGTTACTACATCGTAGTACCAGAGCATCTAAGAATACAGGTAGAATCATGCTATGCAGCCCTTTTGATGTGTGAACATGGGATGGACATGTAGTTTCAGTTATCCTAAACATTCATACATTAACAGTGTCCGATCCTGACGATGCCGGATAACTGACACGTAACTGTATTCTGTAGAGCTTGCATCAGCATCAACTTGCCATCAAGTCATGTAGCCTAAAAGTTATGTTCAGAACAATGTTGATTTGGAATGATTTTGTGTGCGTTGATCAGCGCGCACAGCAGACTGTGTACTGCACAACATACTTGGTACCTGTACTCACATTGTTATCACGCAGACACTGATGGTAGCTGTGCGCTTTTTGCTGTTGTGTAGTCTGGGCGTATCTTTGTTGCGAACTTGACTTACGGTGTGACTGAAGAGGAGCTGAGGCCATTGTTCGAAGCAAAGGGTGAGTACCACTATCACTGCATGCATTGTTGTGTCACGTGTTCATGTAGATGCACTGTGCAGCCTACAAGACCCTGAGATGCTAGCACTACTGGACGGTTTACTCGGTGTATGCATATACATGTGCTAGTACTGTAATGCCATACTGCCAGATATGATTTCATTTCGCAGAGACAGGCACCATGGAAAGTTGAAGCTCAAGGCAGTCTGCTAGTACTTGAAACTTCTTCCCTGTAACAGTGTACATCTCCACTATTCTTTTGCCGGAGGTCCTGCAGCCCAGCATAGCGGTTGTTTGCTTGTGTTGCTCCTGTCTGTGTGCCTATTCCAGGACCTGTGTCCGAGCTGGTGCTGCCGGTTGATAAGAAGACGAAGAAGCAGAAAGGCGTTGCCATTGTGACGTATCTAATGCCGGAGCACGCTGTCCTGGCTCTCAACGATTTGAACAGCACACATTTCCAGGTACGGTCAACTCGACTGCCGTGTCTTGCCTGGAACAACGTCCTTGTACTGTACAGTACTGCTTGGTTCCGAAAAACTGGGTGTTCAGGGTCGTAGCCTAGGTTGTTCTTATTTTTCATATAGAATTGTCTATACAGTTGAGCCACCATGTACATTAGAGTATCCTGCACCTGGTAAAATTCTGGCCTGTTCGTTCTTAGGCGCATTGTTCTTCGGCGCTCGGCAGTGCTACTGTATTCTGGCTGCCAATGTACATTGTAGTACAGGTGTGTTGCCTGTTGTGATGCTGGATATGGCCAGTCTAAGTTAGTGACCCTGTCATCATTGCAACATACCGTGCTCTCAAGACTCGATGAACGTCTGAAGTACAACATCTTTTGACTTTGCGCCTTCGATTCTTCAGCACATAGCATTAACTATAGACACCGTGTGCTGTGTACAGGTGTCATCAACTGCTGGGTTGGGCTAGTATCTTGTCACAGCGAAATTCTGCATTATGATCTTCATCATTCTCTACATGTGTGCGCATTCAATGGTGAAACAGCTGTCAAGAGATTGAATTCATTTTTAATGTTGTATACCTATTTGTGCTCCTTATTGTTTTGCTGCTGCCACTCTGTGCTGTCACTTCATCAGGGCCGTGTCCTTCACATCCAGCCAGCCAAGGCGAAAATAGAACGAGTAGAGCAGGAAGGTAATGACTTTTCAGTATACCAGTATGTAGCACTATTACTGCTCTTGTAGGAAAGCTGTTTTCTTTCATAATCATTGCTGCACGCGTTTGTTATGCCACTGGGCATGATAGCATACATACATATGGCACAAGCGTGTTCCTGTTTTATGCATGGGTGAGTTTGTAACCCACATTGCCTATCTGGGTTTCTGTGCACTTGCCAGAGTCAGCCGACACGTCATCATACAAGAAAAAGAAAGCCGCAAAAGTCTCCGCAGTGCAGTAAGTGGCCAGTTTGTCTATTTCCAGTGCAATACTAAAATCGGTGGCATGAATTTCTGGTTGTGGTGCCATTTTTTGTACATGGTTTTAAAGTGCAATGGGTAGGAATGTTACTTACTAGTACCCAGCAGTGCGGTAGTATGGGGTTTGGGATAAGTCTGTGTGGGATTTCCGTGTTTCGGGATAAATCCAGGCTGCGTATGTGCAAGTTTGCAAACCCGATGTTCCTGAGGCATTTTATTATTCTAGTACTCCATAATTGTACTGACATGTAGAGGTAGTTGTAATGTGTGCGAATATGTCCGCATTGAAAACTCTAGGCTTACCACTAAACTCATGCTGCAGTGTTTAAACCGAAGTGATAGTAACACTGTGTGATGCAGTGTTTAAATCGAAGTGATAGTCACACTATGTGAGCCTTTGCTCAGTAGATGCAGGCGCAGTGCGCTACATGAGTGCCACCTTCGGGATGCTGGTTTGGCCGCTATGGGCTTCTCTGTTATATGCGCATGTTTCTTGTACAAGTCGAGCCCAGGGCTCAACTGTACCCCACAAGTTTAGAACATCCACGAGTTCTGAAATTGAGTATTGGAAGATTCTCTTTTCACACAACCAAATAATTGCACACTCTGCCAGCAAGGAACAAAGGAAAAAAGCCCCGACTAAAGAGGGCTACAGGCTAATATATGCACAAGGGTAGATCCACACCGTACAGTAAGAATGCACCGGAAGCGAAAGAAACAAATACCACGCGCGCAGCGTCAGGTTTCTGCGCACAGCTACAGGCAGATCACGCAGTCCGCGGTGTGGACTGAAACTACACAAAGAAAAGTAAGTCTACAATGCACTATAACCTAAGCATCGGGCCATAGATCCATAGTGGCACCGCAATGAAACACGAGAAGGATCATGCATTCACGCAATACAGTTATGATGATCACAAGTGCGACCAGCAGCATGGATACAACGGGAATCACTACTAACGGCCATGAGTGATAACATAATCACACAGTAGAAAGAGGTGTCAGGTGGTTGAACAGCAGTAGTTTTGCCAACATCCTCCCCCCGGTGACGATCCATCGGTCACCCTATCGTCGGACATCCAGGACGCAGATCTTACTGACAGGTCGTCGGAGGGTGCCGGTCTGCGTCTGCACATCTGCTACTCGCACTCGTCCGTCTGGGCCGGGATAGACAGCAGTAACACGTCCCTTCGGCCAAGTGCCTCTCGGCAGGCTTCCATCGGCGATCACAACAATGTCGTCAGGCTTCACAGGTCTTGGATCGGCACCATGCCATTTCGTCCTCCTTTGGAGGCAGGGCAGGTATTCTTTTAGCCAGCGTCGCCAAAGACATGAAACTGACATGACTTCCTCGTTGACATTCTCAGGCAGTAGCAGCGGGGTACAACGATGTGACTTAGCTCGCGGAGACCTCCCCACCACTGACGCCACTTTTCCAGCAGACTGTCCGGTAGGGGTTGGTCCCACCCAATTCCAGTGCGCCAAACATCTTGCAGAAGGACTCGTGCTGCTAGGGTATGACAGGATAGAAACCCCATCGGGTCGAACACTGACATGATCATGCGGAGTGCCTGTCGCTTTGTTGGCCGGGGTGACTTAGCTTCTTGGTCAACGAGGCGTTGACTGAGGCGGAAGTTAAATTGATCAGTCTCTGGATCCCACTTCAGACCAAGCGCTCGCTCCATGGGCAGCTCCGTGCCGCTGTTGAATGTCGGTGCGTCAACTGCTCGGCGCTCTGCTGGAATGTGCTGCAGCAGCTCTCTGGAGTTGCTGACCCAGTGGCGAATGAGGAACCCACCAGCATCGTGGATGGCCGACACCTGGTCCACTCGGTTTCTGGCTTGTTCTTCATCATCGGTGGAGTCATAGTAGTCATCGACATAGTGATTCTCACAGATGGCCCGTACGGCGTCAGGCCACCGATCGGTGAACTCCGAGGCGTTCTTTCGCATCACATACTGAGCGGCTGCCGGCGAGCATGTGGCACCAAATGTCATTGCTGTCATTTGCATGACATCTGGCTCTCGGCCACGGTCACGCCCTCGCCACAGGAATCTCTGTGCTGGCAGATCCTCTTTCCTGATGAGTACCTGATGAAACATCTGTTGGATGTCTCCGCCGAAACCAATTCGGTGTTGCCGGAACTTGAAGAGGACACTCGGAAGAGGATTGAGGAGATCTGGTCCACTGACTAGAGCATCATTAAGGCTCATGCCGTTGCTTTTCGCTGCTGCATCGAATACCAGACGAATTTTCCCTGGCTTGTTGGGGTTAACTACTCCAAAGTGTGGCAAGTACCACCTGCGGCCAACGTTGTCTTGGTCCAGCTCTTCCTCTGTCAGCTTTCTCGCATAGCCTGTAGCGACATACTCTGCAATCTTAGAGCAGTACTGATCTGCATAGGCTGGGTTTCGGTCCATCTTCCTTTCCAGAGACATCAGCCTCGATTTGGCCATTTTGTAGCTCTCGGGGAGGGCGATGTCACTTGAGCGCCATAGCAGACCTGTCTCCCAACGGGTGCCAACTCGCTCGGTGGTGGACTCCAGCAGCCTCTCGGCACGGACTTCTTCCCTCGAGCTGGTCTTGTTGGAGGTGACCTTCACACCAAAAGACTCCGTGCTGAATGACTCCTTGATGAGCTGATGGAGGTCATCGTCAGCGGTTCTTGCAAGGTGGCAATGTTCGATCTGTGCGACTCCTGCCCTGTCATTGCCATGTACTGACCAGCCTAGCTTGCATTTCGTCATCATTGGCGCGCTCGGCGGTCCTTCGATTACCTCGCGGGGAAGAATAAGGTGGCAGTTGTCTTGGCCTATCAAGAGTCTTGGCTTCGTGTTGGCTCCAACGATCTTGGGGCTGTCGGCTAGGTGAGGCCAGCGGCTACTCAGTTTTGGTACGTCGATCTGTTGCTCAGGTAAGTCCATCTTGCTTACTGTCCTCACGTTGTCCAGTGAAAACGTTCCGCCGTCTCCTTCAACTTCGACACGGACACTCTGCGACCGTTTGTCTGTCTGATTGCTGTCATCAGTCCAGGTGAGAAACAGCGGGCGACGGGGTCCTTCGGCTCCAATCTCCTTGGCAATGGCAGCATCCATAAGGGTCACCGTGGAGGCCTCGTCAAGGAGAGCTGACGTACGGACTACACCAGATGGGCCTCGGATCGTCACTGGGACTGTGCGTAGGATGACTCGGTCGCGCCGGTTGCATTTGCCGACAAGATACGTATGTCCTTCCACAGCTTGAGAGCTTGTGTTGGGCTGATCTGGATTCTGGCCACTAGTGCGTGTGTCGTCCGGTCGTTTAGCTGGGTGTAGCAGATGGTGGTGCAAGCGGTCGCACCCTTGCAACCCACATGGCTTCTTGCTCGGGCAGTTACCGGATCGATGCCCATGAGCTAGGCAGGTGAAGCAACGACTCTCGGCCCTTATCCATTTCCAGCGATCGTTGACGCTCTTCTTGGCAAACGTTCGACAGTCCCGAGTGGTGTGGCCGGACCGTTTGCAGAAGGCACATTGCTTCTCGGTGGCGGCGAACGTGCTGCCTCGATGGAATGTGGGGCGCTTCGCACTATCCGCCGGGAACATAGCTGGTCGCTTCACGCGGGACACAGCATCCGCTCTCTCCTCCAGCCACTCTGCTAACGTTTCGAGGGTCACTTCCTGGTCCCGAGTGCGTATGTGCTCCCCCCATAAACGTCGTAGGCTGCTGGGGAGTTTGGAGACGATCTCTTGTCGCAGCGCTGGGTTTGTTATGTGTCCCGTGCTCTCCATCAGCTGCATCGTTGCCACGAGGTTCCCTACCACATTGGCAAGGTCGATCAGTGCTTCAAAGTCCTCTTCTTTCACCGCTCTCTGCTTCTGAGCGTTGTCAATGATGGTTTGTATGACCTGTTCTGGCTGTCCGAAGCGGGTTTCAAGAGTCCGAATGACTCTATCCACATTGTCTGGAATAACGAGCATGGCCATGACTGCCTCTTTGGCTTTACCACTCAACGCCTTCTGGAGGCGTGCCATGTTCTCATGGTTGCTGAAGCCGCACTCCTGTGTTGAGACACGGTACATATGGTGGAACATTGGCCATGTAGCAGGGTTTCCAGAGAAATTCGGTAGGTCTCTCCCAGCTGATTGTCTCGCCACCATTCTCTGGAGATCACTCGGGTGGGATTCCGCTGGTTGCGGCTGCGCATTTGCCACAGGTAGGCGTTCGGCCAGAACCTCGGCCAGCTGCGCCATGGCTGTCGTCATCGTCCTTCCAACTGAGTCTGACACAGTGGATGCCGAATCCACTCCAGCTGTGGCTGTACTGGGCGCTTTGGCACGTTGGTCGGTTGGAGGGGCGGCCTCGTGTGTGCCCTGGCGGTATGCGCCGAGCTGACTCTTCAGCTCTTCCAGCTCCGATTCCCGGGCACTCAACTCACGTTCCAGCTCTCTTCTCTCATTCCCGCGGGCTTCAGCCTCTTGTGCCAGCTCCTCCCTGACGCCGTCAAGTTGTTTCGCTTGGCTGGCCACCTGAGCCTGAACGTCTGCTAGTGCTCGGCGCTGCAACTCGAGCTGTCTGTCGCGGGCAGTGAGTTCCTGTCTTAGGACCGCAGACTCTTTCTTTTCAGCGCTCAGTCTGCAAGTAAGATCGGACCTTTGGTCTTCTGCGGCCTGCAGTGTATCACAAAGCTCGTGATGTGCAGAGGCTTCGAGGGCCAGCCTGTCACAGTACGCACGCTCTTTACATTCCATTTCCATGGTCATAGCCTGCAGTTTCCTCTCAGTCTCGGCTAGGGCAAACTTAGCGGCTGACAGTGTCTGCTCACAGTATTCATGTGTACTGATGGTGTCTGGCCTGGGCTGTACTGGTGGTACGCCAGTGGCAGTGGCTGGACTCCTACATACATTTGGTACAGGGAAAGGATTCCAGTCAGAGAGCAGGTCAACATCTGGCACAAGTGCTTGCCTTGGCATTTGACTATCACAAGCATCTGGTACCTGTACTGTCTGGCTAGGTGTATGACTGTTACTCACAGCCTGAGACCGAACTACAGTGGCTTTATCATGTTGTGGAGCGGGTGTGGTGGCTCCGACTCCAAGATGTTGTGGGCTTACTTGAGCACTAGAAGTATCTACGAGATCAGAGACTTCACGCTCACGGGTATCACGACGCAAATCCCACTGTCGTTCCTCATACTCTTCCACAGGAGGGGTACCAGCCGTATCACTATCGCTATCACCGGGAAGCTCCTCCGCATCTTCACCCAGTGCAGCTCTCCGTGCCGACAAGCGCATCTCCGAGAGCTTTCTCTGCGTGGCGAGTTCTTTCTCGCGGGCTACTCTTTCCAACTCCGCGATATTCTCTGCTTCCGCTACCTCGGCGGCAAGCAGCTTCGCTCTCTTGATGGCACTACTAGCACTAGTCCTGCTACTCTTGGTAGCATTTGTCTTCCTGGAAGACGTTGTTGACGCTGCCGTCAGCGTTGGTGACGGACTGTTCCGTCGTTTCTCCTGTTCGGAGATCATTCCTTCCGGAGAAAATCGATTGGGTTCACAACCCTTGTTCGTTCTGGTTGAGCGACGTAGCTCTTTGCCACTCTCCATGGCTTATCTCGCCTCAGAGGCGTCACAATAGCCGGCTCGAGATCCGGCTCGAAGGACCAATGTTTCTTGTACAAGTCGAGCCCAGGGCTCAACTGTACCCCACAAGTTTAGAACATCCACGAGTTCTGAAATTGAGTATTGGAAGATTCTCTTTTCACACAACCAAATAATTGCACACTCTGCCAGCAAGGAACAAAGGAAAAAAGCCCCGACTAAAGAGGGCTACAGGCTAATATATGCACAAGGGTAGATCCACACCGTACAGTAAGAATGCACCGGAAGCGAAAGAAACAAATACCACGCGCGCAGCGTCAGGTTTCTGCGCACAGCTACAGGCAGATCACGCAGTCCGCGGTGTGGACTGAAACTACACAAAGAAAAGTAAGTCTACAATGCACTATAACCTAAGCATCGGGCCATAGATCCATAGTGGCACCGCAATGAAACACGAGAAGGATCATGCATTCACGCAATACAGTTATGATGATCACAAGTGCGACCAGCAGCATGGATACAACGGGAATCACTACTAACGGCCATGAGTGATAACATAATCACACAGTAGAAAGAGGTGTCAGGTGGTTGAACAGCAGTAGTTTTGCCAACAGCGCACATTAGATTTTCGTGTTTACTGTCTGTGCCTCTTCTTGCAGCTGGACAAACTGGAACACTCTGTTCATGGGTGGTGATGCTGTTGCCGGTGGCGTTGCCGCCAAGTATGGCGTGTCCAAGGCTGATGTTCTGGATGCGGTGAGTTAGTGACACCACAACGCTACTACATGTACCGTACCGTCATGCTGCTTCAGTTCTTGAAGCAGATATGAATACATGTGTTTTGAGAACCTCCGCCTGTTTCTGCATCAAAGCTGGCTGTCGTGGTCGTGTGCAATGTAGATTGTCTACGTGGTCTATGTACAACGTTATATCTCATCCATACTTGATGTATACTTGACAGCACAGATGTTGAACCCAGGCATAATTATATTTGTGAAATTGGGCCATTTCAGCCTTAGTCTGATTGCATTTGTGATGTTATGAATCTTACTGACAGGAAAGCTCCAAAAGCCAAGCAGTGCGACTTGCCCTGGGTGAGACGGATCTGGTCAGGGAGACGAAGGAATTCCTCCTGCAGCATGGTGTTAAGCTGGATGTATTGCAGAAGGTAAGCTTTTTCTGTTGGATGTTGCATTGTGTGGTTTGTGGCTGGCTCTTTATAGCAATAAAGGAGGCCTTCAGGACATTATTGGCAAGGTTCCTCCTCCATGCTTTCCAACATCTCTCCTTGGCCTCGACAGCGGAGCTGCATTCTGGTGTCCACCAAGACGGGTCGGATGGCCGGGTAACGAGTACCTTGGAGGGAATATACTGCTCCATTCCGCAAAGAATGGCAGCAGTCACTCTTTCGCACGATTGATTGGGGTCATCGGATAGCAGTGAAGGCCAGTCTAGCCTACGGAAGTGTGCCCTCAGCCGGTTCCAGTCGGCATAGGCATAGCGCCAAACCTTGCGGGAGGTCGTAGGTTCACGCCTCGGGCCTACTGCTTGGAAGTTAGAGACCACTACAGCATGATCGGACCGCCCGAGGGGAGCCTGGATTGAAGTGGACACTGGGGTGGAAAAATCAGATAGGATTAGGTCCAAGGTGTTTGATCCCCTAGTGGCATGTGGCACATGCTGGGCGAGTTGGTGGGTTGCGCATAGCACCTCAAGTGACTCTCCAGCAGGAGTTGTCTTACTGCTCTGCAGCCATCCAGCGTTATGCACATTGAAATCTCCCGCCAGAATTAGGTTTGACCCCAGGTGCCGGACATTGTCGAGAACACTGTCCAGGTACTCCATAAGAGAAGTGTCAGTCTCGGCACATGATCCTGGTCGGTAGATAGCACCAAGGACAGTGCGGCGCCCGTCGTGCGTGGACACTGATGCCCACAGCACCTCCTGTGAGCCGCAAGCGACATGGGTGAGCTGAGTAACCGAGAGCTCTGATTTAGCCCAAATAGCTACACCACCTCCTGCCTCATTCCGGTCTTTGCGAACTACTGTGTATCCAGGTACAAGTGTATCAGAGTCCAGAGTGCTCTGTCCATACTTCGTTTCCGTCACTACTGCGACATCAATGTTGTGTGTACGGACTGCGTGCTGCAGCTCGCCAATTTTGTTGGACATAGTGAAGGCATTGGTGAGGAGAATACGATGGTGTTTGGCCATTTTAGTGAGATTTCTTAGGCGGCAGTCGTCTCAGCGGTGGCGGCTGCATTGGCAGCTGGGGTTGTTCGCCTGAACTGCCGTTGCCTGTCTCCGAATCATCAGGAACTATGTCAGTGCCAGAGTCCATGGCTTCACCAGTACCGCTACCGCCAGGAGGCTCCCAGGTTGGTCCGTCAGAGGTGGTTGTTGTTGCCAGGGATCCCTCAGAGGCCAAGTTGCTGGTGGGGTGACCCTGTTGTGTGTTGCTGTCATCCTTGCTATTGCCACGGGGATTCTTGTCGTTGCCCTGGGAGCGCCGGGGGTTCTGTTCAAACACCCATGGTCGAGCATAGGTTGGACGTGGCCAGAATGTAGGGCCAGTAACCGTTGGCGCATCAGCTGCGTTGACGGTGATTCGAGCACGGACTTTACCCAACTTGATGAACAGCTTGCAGTTATGGATTGTAAACTCCTTGAGGCCGAGTTGATCCACACGTGTGGACAGGTAAGCAGTCAGTGTTTCCTCAGTTATGTCGTCTCTCAGGTTTCCAATCCAGAGGACCGCTCGTCGCTTTCCTTTGCTGGGTGGGATCTTTGTAACCAGTTCCCAGAGCCCGTCAGTGTCACAGAGTGGTGGAACTGGTACCGATGGCTGGGGGTCGCTGGGGGAATCAGTGGGCTTGGGCTTGTCTTCCACTTGATGGGTTTGGACTTCTTGGGAAGGCTGGTTCTCTTTTTTGTTTTTCTGCATTTTTTCTTTTTTTTAGGAATTTTCAGATTTTCGTCCTGAGTATCAGCATCCTGAGCTTTCTCACAGTCAGGTTGTGGGCGCTGGAGGAGTTCAAACTGCGACTGCAGCGCTTGAAGCTGGGAACTCAGGTCTTTGATTTTCCTCAGCAGATAAGCTTCTCTGTCAAGTGAGGCACTCACTTCTTGCGTGACTAGCTTGAGAATATTCTCCAGCGTACTTTCAAATCTGGGCAAACAGTCCACCAGGCGCAGGTGGTCTTCGCAAACTCCAGAAACTCCACCTATACTAGCCCTTGAACCTGTGGAAGAGGGCATGTCCTTTGGCCCTTCCATGTCCATCACAGGATGGGCGTGGAGGGGAGTAGCTACAGAGCGAAAAATTCTAAACTAACTAATACTTGAAAAAAAAGCCCCTGTATACATGTGTATACACGTGTATGTGTGTGTGCGTGTGTGTATCTGCCCCCCCCCCCCCCCCATCCATTGCCCCATTGCGTATCTTGGTGCCGACAGGTGGAATGCGCTGCCTCCATCTTGTCGCCTGGCCGGGTCGCCTGCTTTGTTTCACGCTCACTCAAAGTCTCATTTAGGGTTCCCAGTAAAAAGGAAACATTGCCTGTTGGGAAATCCCTAACAAAATAAGAAAAAACTAATAATAATATTAATAATCTGTGTGTGTATCTGTGTGGTGTGTGTGTGTGTGTATATCTGCGTGTATCTGTGTGTGTGTGTGTGTGTGTGTGTGTGTGTGTGTGTGTGTGTGTGTGTGTGTGTGTGTGTGTGTGTGTGTGTGTGTGTGTGTGTGTGTGTGTGTGTGTGTGTGTGTGTGTGTGTGTGTGTGTGTGTGTGTGTGTGTGTGTGTGTGTGTGTGTGTGTGTGGCTTCTGTGCAGTGGTATGTGCAGCGATTTCCAATCGATAGGTTGCGGGTTCGATTCCCGGCGATTATGGTCACACATGTCTTTCTTCTCTTTCTCAGACTCTTTCTGACTTTTCTTTCATTCTCCTGGGTGGTTACCAACAGCCAGTGCATGCCGGAGTATGTGGTGTGATGTGTGTGCGGGAAAAAATAAAAATAAATAAAAAAGACCAAAAAGTAGGGATTCACTGGCCAGAAAAAAGCCACTTCATAGCTGTGTGGTGTAGACCAGGCTGAATAGTGGCGGTCAATTCTTCAGCCTTGCAAGCTGTTGAATGGTGCAATTCCAGCACAAGTTGCTATGGCTTCTGCTGTAGCATCGCTATCATCGCCTCCGGCGATGGGCGTCCAATGGTCCAATGGTGTGGCTTCTTCATCTTATCAGAACTTACTGCTGTATGTTTGCTTGATGTTCCTCGTTTGGCTGCACAGGGTGCCATAAAGCGCAGCGCAACCGTCATCTTGGCAAAGGACCTACCATCTGGCACGACAGCAAGTAGCTTGCGCAAGGTCTTCGTACCATTCGGCGATGTCTTACGCGTGGTGTTGCCTCCCTCTGGTGTCTCGGGTATCGTTGAAATGTCGGATCCTGAAGAAGCCAAGGCAGCCTACAAAAAGCTATACTGCTCTTGTGTAAGTGCTTTGGATTAAGTGAGTTATTGGGAAGCTGATCCAGGTTGTAGTGTGGATGGGTGAGAGAGGGAGAGAGCTGAGAAAGGGCAGAAAGCAAATTTTTCGATTATCAGACCATGTTCGTATACCGTGTTTTCCCGTTGCTCTAAGAAACCTTTGACGAGGCATTGTCATCTAGGAATAATTTAGTCATACTCAGTTGTATCTTGCGCCCCCATCTCAGGTCTGAACCATATTAGGAAAGTTGGTTGTTCCCCACGCGTACTGCTGAGCCATATTGTTTCAATATATGCGCATGATTAGGAAGTCGCACTTGATTTGTAAGTCGCACCCCCTTCTTTGCCTTTGGACTTTAGTGTGAAAAGGTACAACTTACATTCGGTGGAATATGGTATGTGCGAGATTGCAGTACATGTGCACCGTACCTCTTTCAAGGTCGGCGGTAATAATAATATTACAGCAGGATCCGCGTCGGCATCGCTTGAATGTTCAGAAACACACAAAGTAGCCTTCTCATCCGCAGGCCACCACTATGCCTGTTCACCTTAGTGGCGAATGCAGACCTCACAAGTGAGTCAGGGGAGAGGAGGCTAGTCTCTCAACCGATCGGGCGTGTAACGGCCCATACCCCTGTAAACTGCATCCTTGTTATTCTCACTCCGAGCTGTAAGTACCCAGTTGACCCTACACAGTTCAACGCGCCTAAAAGTCATTTTACGCGCTCCCTGCTACCAGCGCGGGTCTTGAACTCGGGACCTCATGATGCGCAGGCAGGCCTGCAAACCAATCGGCCATATGCATTGGTCTGTACTTCTGTATATAGCTGGTGGTATGTAGCCGTAGATTCTTCGTGTTTCCTTCATTGTGCAATGGAGAGCTCAGTTTTTGTGTGATGTTTGTATAGTCATTGTGCTGTGTGTTCTGTCGTATGCAAACCATGGATATCAGCTTGGAATTGTGGTAACTGTTCTCTGACTGTCTCTCTCTCTCTCTCTCTCTCTCTCTCTCTCTCTCTCTCTCTCTCTCTCTCTCTCTCTCTCTCTCTCTCTCTCTCTCTCTCTCTCTCTCTCTCTCTCTCTGTGTGTCTTTGTCTGTCTGTTTGTCTGTGTACGGTCTGCTAACTTGTCTGTCTTTTAGTTTGTGGACCGGCCTTTGTTCTTGGAGTGGTGTCCAGAGGGAGTATTCTCCGGTCCACCTCCAGCATCAGCTGACTCTGTAAGTTTGTTATCATATTTTGCTCTTGCTGCTGCTGACCTGCTACTGTCCTTGTTATCCAGGCGCCTCTTTGTTCCAGTCATACACGTTAGGAATGTTCATTATTGATGCTTTCCCAACAAGATAAAGTGGTGTCTTATTGCCGTGACCTTTTGTCAAGACAGTATTGACTAACGCCCACTGTTGAATATGTGTATCTTGTGTGTCTGTGTGCGTGTTCAGGACGAGGAAGACAAGGGAGGTGATGGTAAGTTGTGCTCAGTTGTGGTACAGGACTTCAGGTTTTCCTTTCCAAGTATCGCCAGTGACAACTAAGATTGTGGACAGCGATCTTGTAGACTGATTGATGACAGCGAAAGAATGACTGTGGTGAAGCTGGCCGGAGCTAGTCTTGAGTGTTGTGTTGCAGTTCTGTTTGGTCAGAGTAAGTTTTAACATAAAGTTATGATCCTCTCTGTGCCTACGTGTGTACGTATTCTACTTTGCAGCTGATGTGGATGACGACAGCGCAGCACAGCAGCAGAGTACATTGTTTTTGAAGAACCTCAACTTCAGAACTACAGAGGACACGCTGAAGACGGTAAGTCCCTCTTCAAGTGCACACTTCTTTTCCCTCTAGTAAATTCTGAATGGTTCTGTCCCTGAACATGCTTACGCAATCAACTATGACAAGACGAGCTATAAACTTGGGGCTCTCTTCACTATCTCAACTGTGGGTGTTGGGTGGCGAAGATGTTCCCTGCCTTTTCACCAAGGTATATCTAGGCGAATGTGAGCAAGGGTATACCAACTCCAGAGTAATAATACTGTGTGCTTTTGTTGCCGGCGGGTGTGCGTGCGTGTGTTCAGGTATTTATGTCGATTGGACCAATTCAGAGTGTGACCATTGCCAAGAAGAAGGACCCTAAGAATCCAGGTACCCACACATGTATTCACTGTCACTGCCGTAGTCTGTCAGTACACTGCTGTGTCGTTTCTTAACTGCCGTAGTCTGCAATGCTGGTCCAGTGCCTCAAACTCAAAGTCATCGACCAGCAGTATCAGCCCCTGGTGGTCAGCGCAGCATCTCACACTGTTGTATTTTGTAATTGAGTTGAAGTGCTGCAACTGTGATGCATCGAAGCATGCAGCATGCGGTGCACATGCTGCTGTGTTGCGGAGTAGGCTTTTAAATTTAACTGTGGCGCTCAGTGTAACAACCGACGGCTACCGTTGCTGGATTCTGACCCGCCGAGCCCAAGTTGAGAGCTGAAGGTGGTATGTGTGTGTGTGTGTGTGTGTGTGTGTGTGTGTGTGTGTGTGTGTGTGTGTGTGTGTGTGTGTGTGTGTGTGTGTGTGTGTGTGTGTGTGTGTGTGTGTGTGTGTGTGTGTGTGTGTGTGTGTGTGTGTGTGTGTGTGTGTGTGTGTGTGTGTGTGTGTGTGTGTGTGTGTGTGTGTGTGTGTGTGTGTGTGTGTGTGTGTGTGTGTGTGTGTGTGTGTGTGTGTGTGTGTGTGTGTGTGTGTGTGTGTGTGTGTGTGTGTGTGTGTGTGTGTGTCTACTGTGTCTACTGTGTCTACTGTGTCTACTGTGTCTACTGTGTCTACTGTGTCTACTGTGTCTACTGTGTCTACTGTGTCTACTGTGTCTACTGTGTCTACTGTGTCTACTGTGTCTACTGTGTCTACTGTGTCTACTGTGTCTACTGTGTCTACTGTGTCTACTGTGTCTACTGTGTCTACTGTGTCTACTGTGTCTACTGTGTCTACTGTGTCTACTGTGTCTACTGTGTCTACTGTGTGTGTGTGTCTACTGTGTGTGTGTGTCTACTGTGTGTGTGTGTCTACTGTGTGTGTGTGTCTACTGTGTGTGTGTGTCTACTGTGTGTCTACTGTGTGTCTACTGTGTGTGTGTGTGTGTGTGTGTGTGTGTGTGTGTGTGTGTGTGTGTGTGTGTGTGTGTGTGTGTGTGTGTGTGTGTGTGTGTGTGTGTGTGTGTGTGTGTGTGTGTGTGTGTGTGTGTGTGTACCACCTTTGTTGGTTTCAGGGTTCATATACTTTCTATTTGAAGTATACATACCTGTTAACCATGGACTGCTTCTGGCTAGATTAACTCTTGTGTAATCAATGGTGCTAGTGAAGCTTATATCAGATCCACTCTGATTTAGCCACCCACACTAGTACCAAGTATTACTTTCACTGGGGGCAGGGGTACCTGCAGTTGGATCCCGGGACGGATACCCTGATGCCGTCAATCCTTTTTCTGCACCTTTTCCTCACCCACTTACTGAGGTGTGGTGAGCCCGTAAGTGGGATCATTTCAAGTCCACCCTAGTTTGGGGATTTCAGGGGGTGTCGGCCGCTGGGTGGTTCAATGGCCAATTGAGTCATCTTTCCAAGATTCCTTTTGAGTCTCTCTCCCCTCTCCCGGGGAGACCCACGTGACCAGTTTTGGCAGTGAGCAAGTACAAGTACAAGTGTGTGTGTGTGTGTGTGTGTGTGTGTGTGTGTGTGTGTGTGTGTGTGTGTGTGTGTGTGTGTGTGTGTGTGTGTGTGTGTGTGTTTGTAACCACCCAGGACAGTGTATGCCGGAGTATGTAGTGTGGTGTGTGGGTGTGTAAAAAAATGAAAAATAGGGATTCACTGGCCGGAAAAAGCCACTCCAATCAGCTGTGTGGTGGACACCAGGCTAAAATTGGTGGCGTTCAATTCATCAGCCTTTCAAGCTGTTGAATGGTGTAATCCCAGCACAAGTTGCTATGTCTAACATAGCTCTTCGCTATCATCACTTCCGCGATGGGCATGTATGAGTTTGTGTGTATGTGTGTGTGTGTGGGGGGGGGGGGGGTCTGCTCCATAAACTACATACTGTAGAACGGGTAATTTTAGCGACGTAAAAACCCAAGTGAATTTAGCGATCGACTCATTTTCGCTTAAGTTTCAAGTCGCTAATCCGTTGAGACATTAGTAGTGCACTGGTGATCCGTGAGTAAGATCGCTGCAAATCGCTAAAATAAAATGTCGCTATTATAAAACCGGTTGACAATGGGAAAACGCTAAAATTAATAGTCGCTAAAATTATCCGTTCTACAGTATGTCCAGTGTCACATCAGCCTTTGGTTTCTCCAATGTCCTCATTGTGCTGTGCAATGTGTACATATTCAATGCAGGTAAAACCTTATCAATGGGTTTTGGTTTTGTGGAGTTTGCGCAACGAGAGCATGCTATGGAGGCCATCAAGAACTTACAGGTATGTCCACTTACTTTCTCCCGTTACTTTCACACTGACTGACGCGCACACCCATTCTTTCTTTTTTATCCCTCGGTTTCACCTTTTTGGTTCTCTCTGTGTCTCTCTTACTTGCCTCTTTTCTCTCCGCTGGCTCGCATGTTTATGTTGACTTTCCATGCTAACCGTTTGTGGTCTCTCTCTCTCTCTTGTTCACAGCATCATAGCATTGATGATCACAACGTAGAGCTGAAGATGTCAGATCGTACAACAAAGTAAGTTAGCAGGCTTTGCAGGTACCTGTGACTGCCACAGACGCAAGGCATTCGCTGTGCTTGTGTATGTGTGTTTAAACATCATCTCTTTGTGGGTGAAGCCATATTACAGACATAAATGGACTTGTGTTTCATTGTTGTTCTGCCTCATAGAGTTGCCCCACGCGCCGGTAAACGTGCCAAAAGCTCTGCAGCTCCAAGCAAGAAAATTCTTGTTCGCAATCTTCCTTTCGAAGCAAACGGCAAAGAGATCCGGGAACTTTTCAAGTAAGCACACGGCTGTATGCAGAGTTGCAGACTAGTTTATTTTTTTCTTTGTGCACTTACCATTATTACTGCTACCTAGTAGAGCATACTGCATATCCATCTTGTGTGGTTCAATCTACGGGCAATACTGTCTCACACTTGTGTGGGCAATGTAAGGTGACTGTCATACTGTGGGTGAAGCTGCAAGTTTGTACCGTGTCTATTAGTATTTGTCCATCTGTTCTATCAGGAGACTGGGAGAGACGCAGCAAATTCCTTGTGACGCCTTTACCCTAGGGCAACTTCATCCATAACTTCACACACACATACACTGCCATGCTGTGCTTTGCTGTGCTTTGCTGTGCATGGCAGTTGACACAATTATTTACGTGTGAAGTGCATTGACTTGAAGTTCACGTGGGTGAGTGGATGATATTGTGCCTATCGTTTTCCTTCTGGTCTCCAGGGCTTATGGGCAGATTAACACAGTGCGACTGCCGAAGAAACCTGGCACTAACAATCACCGTGGTTTCGGCTTTGTTGACTTCCTATCCGAACAAGAAGCTGAGGTAACGACTCAGATTACAGACATTGTTGAATCGTGTGTTTCATGTGATGCGGTTGATGAGTTGAGTGGTTTATGCTACCGGTATGTCATTACAATTGTAGTGTGGGAAGAAATGCAAAGGGCGCTACTGTGTGTGCGCTATTGTTGTATTCTGTTGCCAATGGAAATAAGCCTTGTGGTATGTCGATTCAGCCGGTTCTGTTGATTGTGATTTTCAAATTAGTGTCACCTCGCCGCCTATGTAAAATACTCTGCTGCCTTTTACGTGTATTTCTGTTCCCAGCGAGCGTTTGACGCTCTGAGTGCCAGCACTCACTTGTATGGTCGAAGGCTGGTGTTGGAGTGGGCTATGCAAGAGGAGACGGTGGATAGCGTGAGGCTCAGAACAGCAAAGCACTTTCATGGTATGTACTAGTACTACTTGTTGCTGCTGCTGTTTCTGCTATACGCAACGTTAGAGAATATATACAAATAGGCTTGTTTGGGAGGGATGGGGTGTGCCCGCTGTTTGTCTCGTTTTGCTGAGAACTGAAAATAAAACTTATCTCTAGATATGGACGAGCACTGTGCAAGCGTATAGTTGATGCCCGACACGAAGTAAAACTCGTGCTATCGGTCATTGCCAAGGCAAAGGCTGTGTGACTATAGCATTGTCAACCTAGGTGTACCTTTCTGCAGCTGAATGGGGCTTGTGTTGTGTGGTGCAAAAGCAGGATCCACGAGCAGGATTCGAACCCAGCCCCTGTCTTTCCGGGACAGCGCCCTACCGATTACGCTACCAGAGATCACACAGATCCGTGGGTCCTTCTTGCTACACTGTTCCCCGCCCCAACAGGCTGTGTCCTCATGCCGTACCTACTCGCGGGGTATGATGGGTCGTCGGTTGCGTTTGAGCAAGCGTTGGGCACCAATGTACAGTCAACTTTGGGTATAACGACACTCGGCGGGGCATCAGAAAAGTGTCCTTATTTGCGAAGTGTCGTTATACCCGTAGTCTCATTTCGTATTACAGTTAGATGGGACTTTGCTCTGGGCATGGAAATTCTGTCGTTATTCGCGAATTGTCGTAATATCCACAGTCGTTATTAGCGATTTGACTGTAGTCGAGTTGTATGTGTTCCTCTAACACCAAACCACGGAGTACATTAACGTGTTGTACCGATATATTATTACTATTATACTATGGGAAGGATGAAATATACAAATAGAAGCTTATGGGAAGGACTACTGATCGGGCATTAAGGTGAGGGCATAGGTCTTCCGAGAACGTCGTTGGATATGCCCTCCCACTAAACTTCTTGCCCCCACAACCTTTTTCGTGCTGAAAGACATTGATGCTGCTGCTGTTAAAGCCGCAGTAGCTCCAGCTGTGCTCGTGCCAACTTCCGCTTCCGTAACCGGCCCATGGTGTGAATAAATAGAAAGAAAAGGACTCCTCAAAGCTCGTCACTGGTACTTCAAAGAAATACTTGTACTCCTAACTGTTAGACAAGATGCAAAAACCCAAGGCCACAACGGCGCGGCCGCTGTCGATCGTTGAGCATTGTAGGGATCTGGCGGTCACATGCTGTGCTACAGTAGTGCAGCTCGGTGAAATCCGACCCAAAGTGCATATTTGGCGCCCTCTACTTGCACGGCCCTTGGCGCCCTGGAAGTGGTATGAATGCGGCTGGATGTACACATGTACGAGCACAGTGGTGTAATCGGAATTGGTCCAGGGCGTCAGTTTTGCACTTTGGGTCGGATTTCAGTGAGCTCAACTGTATATTGTATGAGCCGTACAGAGAGCTTCGGACTGGGACTGGGGAGCTTGCCGTTACATCCTGTACCGTTGTCTCTGGGTCGAACGTGAGCTAGGCTAAAATGTAACATGGCATGTTTTGGACTGTGTTTATTCTTGCTCATTTTGCAGAACCACTTGCCAAGCGGAAGAAAGTTGAGCTCAGTACGTAACCTGTTGGAGCTCTACTGATTACATGGAACCGAGAAATATATTATGCAATGGTAATCTTTCTTCCTCGAACTGATGAGCATTTTTCCTCGTTCAATTGCCAACATAACTTTAGTTTTACTTTGCCGGTGTTGATCTCGGGCACCCTGGAAATCCCTTTGAAAGAGGATGACAGCAAACCCAAGCTCATCAAGGACAGTCATTGCTGCCCGCTATTGCAAGCCAGGAGAGTCTGTTGAACACCAAGTGCGAACCAGCAAGTCATTCTTGCATCGCCTTTTCACATGCGTCAGCTCAAAATCAATCGAGTATTGAGCGAATGTTTAAGTGCTCACTGCTGCAGTATCCTATGTGTACTAAACTACTGTCGTGAGTTCAATGCCTCTAACCGTCTAGGTAGACAAAGACGTGATTCTGTGTCTGGTTTACTTCATATGCCACTGTCTACTTTGCAGGTAGTTTTGATGACTGTACTGGCATGTGCAACTGCTGCCATAAATTTACTTTGAAATGCAGTTCATGAACATTAATATACTCCACAGCCACGTACTAAAATAATAATTACGGCCTACGCCTTCAGATTCTATGTTGATTCTATTATGGGTGGAGTTACGTGCATTTGAACAATAGAGAAGCTAAGTGGTGCAAGAGTTTGAAGTGATGATGTCTTGCTAGACAGAGGAGCTGGCCATGGGAATGCAGCGCTTGCACTGGGCATTTCTACCCAGCCACCAGCTTCTGTTGGCCCACAGTTGTAGGTCGTAACATTTAGACTTCCCATACTGTCCCTGTGTTGCTGGTCAGCACCCTCACTGAGTGTCCAGGTCACTGGCTCATTGCAACGGTTGATGACGGCCAGGTTCAGCTGAGAAACACTGCTGAATGCTGCAGCTTGAAGGCAAGACTTACCGCTCAGACCTTCTGGCAATGTACTAGGTGTCACTGGCCCACCGGTGATGTTTACACGATACATGTCTTGACTTTGTGCAGCAACTGAGGATAGGTGAGCAAACAGCTGTGAGACTCCGTTCACATACACCTGCGTGGCATTGAATGTCTTCATACGCACCATGCCAGAGTGAAGGTCCCAACCCATTGTGTCCACACTCAGAAAGGCATGATACTGCATAGACTGTATTGTTTCACCATGCTCCACGCCAACTAAAACATGCGAGAGCATGTTCAGGGCGTGAGGTCCACCGTCACGGTCCAGCTCAGTCCTGTCGCCCAGACCTTCATTGTACTCCGTGATCAGCACACTGATATTGTCTCTGTACAATTTCTTGCAGAACTTGACTGCTTCACCGTAGGCGATCTGCGGCCATGTTGCTAGCGAGGATGTCCACGTGATGTTGTCCCCGTGCTCGGAGTGTCCGAGACTGGCGTAGTCGTGGATTGTAACAGCATCAAACAGGTGTTGATACTGTGCTAGCGTCACTGACCATGACTCTGCCAACTCTGCATGTACACAACCCAAGAACAGAATGATGAGGTGCTAGACTTAGTTTAGGGAAAATCACGGTTCACGTGAGACTCAGTTAGACTGAGTTTTACCGCATCTGCAGGAACGCCACACCACCCTCTAGGGTCAAGACACAGATGCAGCTCTTAGGCTAAAGCGGTGGGAGGTGAGTAGATCAGACCCACGACCAAGCTAGTGAGACGCAATGGTACACTGTTCATGGTTGCATTTTTTTATACGAGAGCTGAAGCAAGACGAAGATAATTATATTGGTTGGCACTGACGTAAACCACTGAAAAAGTCACACATAATGCTGTACACGTGTAGTGTGCTCATAAACTGACATACTTACATGTATATTGTATTAGGCCACACCAAGTTAATTCTATGTTTCGCGTCGGATATTTTCTGGAAAAGGCACGCGGGCGGGCGGAAAAAAAACAAAAACAGAAGAAAAAACAAAACTCCATTCTATGTGTACTGAGCCATGTTGCACACAGAATACCCCTACTAAACTGTCACTTCTATCCAAAACGACAACAAGTCGTCACAGGACAGCTGGCAGACTGGGCTGGGGCGATACAGAGATTTCATGGATGGCTCCTCCTGCATTTTGATATGAGTCGAGTGGGATCCCGCTCTATCACAATCGTGGAAAATCTCGAAGTCCTTGACACTTGGAATCTCTGCTCGGCTTGGTGAGCAGGCCCTAGGCCTACCGCACGGCTTGGAAAAATATAAATTTTCATCTCTCGCACCTTCTACGTACCATTGCCTGGAATGCAAGATTATCGAGAAGCTGATAACCTCTGATCTGCCATACTGGCTAGAGAATGTTCGTCAGAACATCCATCGATTGGCTCGTCTAGGTTCTTTTTTTTTCTTGTCAAGGATTCGAAAAGGTACGCGGGCGGGTGACGCGAAACATAGAAATAACTTGGTGTGGCCTTACCCGATATACTCATACACTCGGACGCCTCTTATCCGGGCACCTTGGGACCGGGCACTGCCCGTATCTCAGATTTGCCCGTATTTCAGGATAACTCATCTACTATGTATCATATCATTCGTTGAAGAAGTTTATTTGGCAACCATTGCACATGTTAAGGATACCAACATGATCGATCGATAACGACGTGTGGATTACACAGGTTGATGGTGACAAAATAAGCACTTGTGCATACGAAAAAAAGTTCAAACCCCCAAATTCGAAGCATTTTACCATAGGAACCCAAGCTGAAGGTGCCCGGTAGAGAGACGTGCCCGTATCTGAGGCGTCCGGATAAGAGACGTTTGAGTGTACCTCGGTTATCCGGACATCGAAGTTATGGGCACTTCAGTCTACTGCCTACTGGGCATGTTTGGGCGAGTCTAGCACAATTGTGACTATAATCTTTGATCTTCCAGATTTCTTTTCGCTAATAAACAGGGTTCATGTTATGCACTATTAAACCTGACTTGTTATCATGGTTATAATGAGGGCGGACCTGCATCATAGTTGGTGCACAGATATACGGTGGGAAGTGACGTAGTGCGTACAACTGAGCTGCAGCAGTGCAGCAGGAGGCCTGCTTGAATCCTGCGTGCACGCACTACATGTATATCACCAAACTGACTGGAATCCAGGCATTTCACCGTGACAGCAACCCAACCAAGCTGCACACTCTGGGTTTCACGTACTCTTGATAACACGCATCATAACTGTATCATTCCATAATTCGAAGTGTACATTTATAATAGACCCCAGCATGCACGACTCACCAATCTCTTCTTGCGTCATCGCTATTCCTATATCAGCTGCCAGGTGCTTTGGAATGAAGCTGCCTATGCCGCCAGCTGGTACTGATATCTTTACCTTCGGGAAGCGTTGCCGAAGTTTGGTGATGAGGGACTTGCATTGGGTCATGTAAGTAGAAGCGTCGGGAAAATGCCACCTGTATTGCTTGTTGAGATATAGCTCGTTGCCGATTTCAACAAAGCACTCCACATCGGCACAGAACGGCTGCAGTGTGTTGATCTGCATGTCCCAGGTGCCCTCGTCCATTGTCAACACATTCAAATCAAATACCGGCAGCTTAGCACCCGTTCGCGATGCCAAGTCCTTCACAAAGTTTGCCGGGGAGAATGTTCCCTCTGGGAACTTGTTGACGGCCGCACTCATATTGCCGCACAAGCTAGAATGTGAGCATGTTGTTGCATATCTACCACTGGTAATGTTCCAGTAGTTTGCCTGTAGCAGCAACCAGCAAACACACAACACTACTATTCAAGCCTCTGCCGCTTGTGGAGACGATGTATAATCCAGAAACTGAGATCAATTGTGTACAGAGTGTGTCATGATGCATCTCATTTCATACTAGTACTGTAACGGGCGGTGGATATACCTACCACTGCCCCTCCTGGATGGCGTAGGTAACCCACTCTTAACGACTCCACTGCATTGACTAGAGCCGATGAATCGTATGGGATCTGCATTACCGGACCCAGCACATCATTCAGCCCGAACAGCTTGAAGTTCGTTGGAAGAACATCCTTCCTGTCAATAGTGAGATGAGCTGAATCTGCTAGTTGCCGGCCACCATTCAGAGCACATTGGACGATTCCACACGATACCAGCAGCAGGAAAGCGGCCAGAAACATGGCAATTCCAGCAACACGAGGGTTCATCATCCTGCGACGACTACTTGCCACCGCCAAGACCATGAAGACTGGCAACTAACTTATAATGGGACTTCTTTTGCTCTGCAAACGACTTCAGCAACCAAACCAAACCATAGCGCCTGTTTTGCGCCTGTGACCACGGTCGGTGACTGCTGCTCGTATATGGCTCCACATGACGATATATCTGCCGGTAAACCATGGTAATCAATGCATTGTGTATGGTAAATCTACATGAAGTAGGAGTATGACTGTGCACGTGCAAGGAAATCTACAAAGTCCGGTCCAGTACTATACTGTACTACAAAATTAATGACTATGACCTGATGACTATGACATGATGACTACGACATACCGGTAGTCATAGACCACCGACCTTCACACCCGTGTGATCATTACGACAATCAGAGGGACGAATGAACGGCACACAACACACAAAAGTAATAATTCACTGCTACGCAACTGGCAGATCTACTCGTAGTCGTTTGTTTGCGATCCATCAGTAAAATGAAGCTCCTTCGTGGTGTGGAATGGTCGATGTGCCTATGGCTGATGTTCCTTGAAGTATTAGTTGTTGTTGGACAGGGCGCTAAAAGCGGGCACATAAACAAGGAGGGAGCAGCGCAACTTTCCATTGACCGTAGCGCCAAACTTCCCACGAACTTCAAGCTGTTCGGGCTGAACGATGTGCTGGGTCCGGTAATGCAGATCCCATACGATTCCTCGGCTCTGGTCTGTGCAGTGGAGTCGTTGAGAGTGGGTTACCTACGCCATCCAGGAGGGACCGTGGTAGGTGACGCCACAATGACTATGCACATGATGACTGTCGCAAGCTATGACATGATAACTAATTACTTATAAGTAACATTAGTTGATTTGATTGCTAACGCTAACACACAAAGTCCGGCAGCAGTAGATCTGCAGCGGTGAGTCCTAAATAACCGTTACCAATATTGTAGAACTCCCAGTACGTTCTACAGTTCTGACAAGAGAAATCCGGACCAATGTACACTTGCAGCGCCGAAGGGCGCTACGCCACTTCACATCTGTGCTCGAGGGCACTGAACTGGGATTTCGGCACAGCAAGTGTACATCAATCAGTTTGGATTTCAGTTGCCATTGTGTGGTAGATTTTACTGTTGCAAGAGAAGAAGGATCCGCATGCAGGATTCGTCACATGATGCATCACTCTGTGTTTCCGGAACACTGGCGCCGCTTCTCCCCAAAGGTGTGTTGGCATCAGTACTGCATATGCCTTTGTGTTTGCTGGTTGCTGCTACAGGCAAACTACTGGAACATCACCAGTGGTAGATATGCAACAACATGCTCACATTCTAGAGTGTGCAATATGAGTGCGGCTGTCAACAAGTTCCCAGAGGGAACATTCTCCCCGGCTAACTTTGTGAAGGACTTGGCATCGCGGACAGGTGCTAAGCTGCCGGTGTTTGATTTAAATGTGCTGACAATGGACGAGGGCACCTGGGACATGCAGATCGATACACTGCAGCCGTTCTGTACCGGTGTGGAATGCTTTGTTGAAATCGGCAATGAACTACATATCAACAAGGTATACAGTTGGCATTTTCCTGATGCTGATGTGTACATGAAGCTTGTGGAACCCCTCATCAACAAACTTCGGCATCGCTTCCCAATGGTGAAAATATCAGTCCCAGCTGGTTTCCTGGGTGACTTCATGCCTAAGCAGCTAGCAGCTGAAATGGGACTAGTCTCACCTCAAGAACAGACGGGTGAGTTTAGATTATGGAAGTCCTTCACCACATTTCAAAACATGGCCTAGCTCTTCGTCCTTTTATCCAGTGCACACCTGGTCCTTTCATCTCCTACCTCTTGGCAGCGTCAGAGTCAAAGTTATGCTCTGTCATGTGCATTTCTTCAGTAATTATACACTGTACCGGCAGGCCCTGCAAAGAGGGTGGGTATACCGGTATGTGCAACTCTACTGAGCCCAGGCGGGTTGCCAGGCGGGTTGCTAGGCGCGTTGTACATATAAATCACTCTAGGCCCTAGCCTGTGTTGATCGACAGGCCCGTTGACAGGCCGCGGACTGGCATTCTGCACTGGGGATTTTGGCCAAGTAAGCAAGCATACTGAAGATGTGTTTTATACGAGCTTGTAAGCACAGGGCTGAGGCATGTCACTGCCCAATGCCGGCAATGGGCGGGATTTCGGGTGCCTTGATCCAAGATCCTGCCGGGCTGGCCAGTGTAAACGGACAGTAAGATTGCAGCTTCTTTGTCTGCCGGTATGTCCGAGATCTTTTATTCCAAGCATGGACCAGAGCGGCAACTTACGACTCCTATTGTGATTAGTGCCAACCCGACTGCCCGGGTGCCTGTGGCTGAAGTACACTGGCAGCTCGTGGGAATGCTTCTTCTTCGCAAACGTGTGCCTATGCCCCTCTTCTGCAGAGCTTACTGAATCATGGTCAGTGACGCTAGCAAAGTACCAGCACCTGTTTGATGCCGTGACAATTCATGACTATGGGAGTGATGGGCATGCAAAATCAGGGGACAACGTCACACGGACATCCTCACTAGCAACATGGCCGCAGGTCGCGTATGGCGAAGCAGTCAAGTTCTGCAAGAAATTGTACAGAGACAACATCAGCGTACTGATCACGGAGTACAATGAAGGTCTGAACGCCAAGACTGAATTGGACTATGATGGAGGACCTCACGCTCTGAACATGCTCTCGCATGTTTTAGTTGGTGTGGAGCATGGTGAAACAATACAGTCTATGCAGTACCATGCCTTCCTGAGTGTGGACACAATGGGTTGGGACCAACACTCTGGCATGGTGCGTATGAAGACATTTGATGCCACACAGGTGTACATGAATGGAGTCTCACAGCTGTTTGCTCACCTATCCTCAGTTGCTGCACAAAGTCAAGACATGCACCGTGTAAACATCACCGGTGGGCCAGTGACACCTAATACACTGCCAGACGGTCTGAGTGGCAAGTCTTGCCTTCAAGCTGCAGCATTCAGCAGTGTTTCTCAGCTGAACCTGGCCGTCATCAACCGTTGCAATGAGCCAGTGAACTGGACACTCAGTGAGGGTGCTGACCAGCTACGCACGGACAGTATGGGAAGTCTGAATGTTGTGACCTACAACTGTGGACCGACAGAAGCTGGTGGCTGGGTAGAAATGCCCAGTGCAAGCGCTGCATTCCCATGGCCAGCTCCTCTGTCTAGCAAGACATCATCACATCAATCTCTTGCACCACTTAGCTTCTCTATTGTTCAAATGCCACACAGTGACCCAAACCATCGTGCGCCGCATATTTAATTCTGGAAAGCTTTCCATTTGGTGCCATATTTCAGTGTCACTACACTATTATCGTGTAGGTTGCTACGTGCCAATTCATTATCGTGCATACCAGTAAATTCTCCATCATGCCAGAACTGATGACAAGGTCCAGTACTTTTTTTGCTGAAAATAATCCTGATCCTATGTGTTATGTGCACTTGTGTCCGGATATGATGGACAATCAGTGCATGTCTCACGCAGTGTAGAATGTACACGTACATCTACATGTTCATTGTGTAGTCTGAATACAGTAAGGTCGTGCGCTGAAGAACGCAGGGGCTCAAGGCGCAGACTAACATTGCTCTAAAAATTTCAAATGCTAGTTTCAGTTCATATTCTGTGATGGTGAGAGCATACGATGCAATCACGCCACGTCGAACATGTAGCCGAAAACACTGTTCTGTAGTACCATGATGTCGTCCTTTGCAAACATAACAATGACTGTGTAACAATGTGCATGCAAATATCTGTTTGCCATCACCAGTTCCACTGCTTAGGAAACCCTTCGGCCGGAAAGGCTTGATAATGATACGAGGAGCTTAGCAAGTTAGCTGCTATGTGAGTATGTCAACCATGCCCATGGTCCGACTCAACATTTAATTACGTAACATCAACTGGGCCCCTCTAGCTCTATTCATGTGGTTGGCCGAAGCGCTGTTCGGCGAGCTGTCATGACAGGCATGCATACACGGCGCCGCGGCGGCCGTGCGTACAACATGTACG